ACCTCTCATCCCTGAACTTAATATTTTAGATCATTCAATGGATACTCACCAAAAATAATAATTTCATACCTTATTGACCTGGTTATTAATTCAACTATTTGTTTTGTTTTGAATTCACTTGGGAATGTCCACTGAGATTTGGACAATCTGGGGCAACTCACTAATAACACAGTATAGCTCTAAGCCAAAGTTTACAAATGAGTTCTCATGATTTTTTAGATGTTTTTACAGGTGAGTTAAAGATCAATTCAGTAGTGAAAGAAATAAATACATTTAGTCAGATCATTCCCATATTTTGTATAATACAATCATGAGTTTTATATATTGTTATTCAGCCAGTTCATAGGAATATTGCATCACCTATTTGTTTTCCAATTTTTATTATATTGGACAACAAATTTAATAAGTTAAAATTTAATATAATAAATTTAATAAAAAATATAAGCAGAAATTATTGTAATATCATGAAAAATGTTAGTGATCATTTACTTATCTCAGATGTTATATACTTTCAAATTGTTCCACTCTGTTGGAAAGGTCTATTAAATTATAAAACACTTCTTATTTGTAAAATAATTAACAAAATTATTCAGTCAATAGAATTAATGCTTTAAACCTATGCAATAATTAATTCCCTTTTATTTCAGATGATACATTGAATATTCCTATATTTTTCCTGACCTTAAGTAAATGAATTAATAATACATTTTAGTTGGGTAAGGGCAATATTGCTTTCCACAACTTTTCTGTCAGTTTATTGTACAGGTGTCTTGTCTGTTGCTATGATTTGAAATATCAGCAGTATTTTCCAAAAGTTGAGAGATTTCAATTAATCGTTCTGAGTAGGCCTTCAATTCTTTCTTGGTCTTCATTATTCATTGTTTAGCTTTCAAATGCCTATGAGTCTATTGCAAATAACATGGCTTGAGTCAGGTGGATCTTAGTTTTAAAAATAATATCTTTGCTCTTTATCACTTTAAAGAGGTCTTCTGAAGCAGATTTGGCCAGTGTAGTATATATTTTGATTTTTTGATTGCTGCTTCCATGATAGCTGATTGTGGATTCCAAGAAAAATTAAATTTTTGACAATTTTAATCTTTTCTGTTTATAGTGATGCTGCTTATTGGCCAGTTGCATTGAGAGCATTTCATACCAAACTAAGCAAAGTTAAGTTCGTCAAATTTTACTTTAGTTAGATCATTAAAGGAGGTACTTCAAACTAGTCTAGATTGAAACAGAGATGGGAGAGAACAGAAAGTTATATTGAAAGTTCGGTCTTGGTGAAACAGTCATGGCTAGATTCCTCCAAGGCTACATCTGGGAAATCCAAAAGATGCAGAGCCATTGAAATGCCAAAGAGAGGTGAGAGAATTCAAATGTAGCTATATTGTTATGATCACAGTATAATCATAACTAACATGGAGATTTGGTCTTTCTACCCAGGTGTGTGTCACATTTGATCATTAGATTGCAAAGTCATCAGTAATTGCCTGATAGTTTCAGAATGTCCTTCATGACAAGGGTCTCCTTTTGCTTTTAATCATAATCATTGTCTTAATTGGGCCCTGAGAATGAAACATTTTCAATCTAATCACAGAAAAAGCACAACACAATTTTGATCATTTTTATTTCCTAGGTCTATATGCTCAAAAACTATGCCTAAACCTTATATAAACCTATATTTCAGTCATAAAAGCTCATGTAAAGAGATAATTGAAGAGCCAGACAACTCTTGGTTTAGCAGAAAGTCTATAGGACATTTGGTTCTTTTTTCTACCAGAATACACTTTGACTTATTTTAGTAGAAGTGCAGTATCTATTGCATAGACAGATAGATACATAGATAGATAACTGATTGAATGATCGATGATAGGTAGGTAGGTAGATAGGTAGATAGAGAGATAGATAGATAGATAGAAAACTTTCATAAAGTTGACTTCAACTCATAGTGACCTTATGTACAATTTTTCCCACTCTTGACTCATCCTCAAGATTGTTGGCATGTCTGAGTCCATAGTTATGGCAATTATACCAATCATTTTCATTGAGGGTCTTCTTTCCCCTCACTGGACCCTATTTAACCAAATGATATACCTTCCTCCAGCAATAGGTCCTTCCTGATGGTGTGTCCTACGCAAGCAAATCAGATTAACTTTCCATAATCCATAAGGTTTTTACTGGCTAAATTTCAGAAGTATATTATCAGGCTTTTGTTGTTCTTCTATCTTAATCTGGAAGAGCAGCTGAAATCTGCCCACCATAGGTGATGCTGCTTATGTTTCAAATACCACTGACACGGATTTCAGCATCAAAACAACACGCAAGCCACCACAGTACAACAAAAAGACAGACAGGTGGTGATCAATAACTATTACAGAACTCAGATATTCACTTCCTTTCCTACCTTAGAGCTATGGCCAAGGCATGCACCCAAAACTCTGTGTTAGATACTATGACACAAGAGATTAATTTGCCAACTTGTCACTCAGAGGAGCAGGATATGTGCACAGCCACTTAGGACACTTGGGTGAGACAGCAACAAATTCATACAAATTCCAGAGTTGTCATTCACATGGATCTGGACATTTGTATGGCTCCCAGGGATTCTGTGGCTCCCAGGAGGGTTAACAAAGTCATCATCAGAAGACTCATTCTCAGGCAAATATTGGGCTTTGCCAATGGTTTTCTAGCCTGATTCACTTACATTTCTAGAGATTCTCTTTAATAATTTTCTGATTGAATTGTGCTATACTTTTTTCTGTGTTTTGGTTAGTTATTTAGTTAAGAACCCTAGCTGATAATGTCAGATTCCAAATGCTATTTTGATTCAGGTGGAATACCTTACTAGAAAACTGTAGGAAAGAGAGGATGAGGACTTTAAGTATGGCAGTGATTTCAGGATTGAGGAAGAGAGAAGGCATGTAAAAATAATCAACAGATAAGACTGAGAAGAATTTATGATTCAGTAGATTTTTCAATAAAATAAAATAAAGCTTATATTACACTTTATTATATATATATATATATATATACACACACACACACACACACACACACACAGAGTGAGAGAGAGAAATTGAAATATTTGTTTCCCCAATAAAGTAGTAAGTGTTCAGTAAGTATTTGGAATTTCACTATTGATCTAAAGTAAATTTTCTGTTTTTCCACTGCAAATGTGAAAGTAAAATAAGTTTTGTGAAACCAGGTACATATTTCATCAGTAGCCAAACTATTACCCTTTTCCAAAGTAGTATGTAGATATCATACAGTTTTTGTGAAGAAAAATTCCCACATCATTTAAACTAGGAGATAAAGAAGTCATATTCACTTGCCATTCCATAAATTAAGATTTAATTAGTTATTAGTGGGCAAAATTCTAAATGCTTACTTAGAATTAGTATAAAGACATCTAAATTCATATCATTTCTTAAAAATGTAAATCTCCTAGTCTGAAAAAATAACAATTTTCAATTCTAAGATGTCAGTTATCCATCTCTATGTTGCCTTGGTTAATTCAGGACTTGTCTTACATGTTCATTCTAATTTCATCTCTTCACCTGTCATCAGAAAATGATTGGCATATAAGCAGTTTTCTCTCCATGAAAGCAATTTCTCTTCACCAAAATTATATACCTCACCTAATATATACTATATGATACATATACTATAAATAATGGTGTAAACTGTTTAAGCACAGAATAAGCAAGTTTATCTAAAATAGTTGTATTTAAAATATTGGTGCATAGCAGTAGACTCCTATTCCTACAGCCCCCATAATGTCTCAATAAAATTATAATAATTGCAGAATGCTAAAAAAGAAAAAAGGATTGGAGAATAAGATTCTGCATAACATAAATTGTCCTTTAAATGTACAAGTGGGTACTTGGTATATAAAATTTGAGTCTGTGCTTGGAGTTCATTTTGGCTGAGATAGTGTAACCTGTACTCTTTAGGCTGTAATATCCATTTATCCTCTTGCAAAGTGGTCATTTCTTCTATAGCTATGTTATAATCTCCTCAGTCCTAATTATTGATCCTGTTTAAGGCACTTTCCTAGGAATCATCCAGATAAATGCAAGACCTCTCTCCAGGAATATGTGAACTCCATAGTTGCTAAGAATTCCTGTATTCCTCTGTCATTCCCACTGAAATTCTGTGGGGTGGGTGGGTGGGTGGAAATAGCAGTAATACACACCTATTGAGAGTAAATTAATGGGAAAAAATATTATCTTGCTTTACATTAGATTCAATCACATTAAAACATTTATTCTTCTTTTGTTAGAACTGAGAGCTCTGGTGGCGTAGTGCCTAAAGCATTTGACTGCTAACCAGAAGGTTGGTGGTTCAAATCCACCAGGTATTCCTCAGAAGGAAGATTGGGAAATCTATTTTTGTAGTGATACTGCTTTGGAAACCTAAGGAGAGGTTTCTATGAGTTGGATCGATGTTATAATTTAGTCATTGTTGTTGTTGTTGTTATTTGCCGTAGAGTTGGCCCCGACTCATAGAGACCCCTCCTTGGGTTTCCGAGGCAGTATCACTACAGAAGAAGGATTGCCCAACCTTCCTTCCAAGGAGTGGCTGGTGGGTTTGAACTGCCAGCCTTCTGGTTAGCAGTCAAGTGCCTTAGGCACTATGCTACCAAAGCTCCTATAATTTAGTCATAGAGAGAGAAATTATTATAGTAGAATTTTTATGATTAATAGTATCTTCATATTAAGCAGTTTCCATCTACATTTCTAAATATTAATGACACTTTATTATTTTTTAAATTTGGTGGACCATATATGTCTTTTATATTGATAGGCACAAATCACTTAAGGAACAAACAAAACTTCTGACTTTGTAACATACAATTATTTTGTCTAACTTCAACATTTAAAATCTTCTAATATAATTTTATATCATGTCCACATGACGTGACTAATATTTTTCTTAATGATTACTCATTGGTGAATAAAAAGGCACCTGTAGCTTTAAGATTGATGAAGAAACTTTGTCTACACTTTCACAGAGCACATTCTCTGAGTAACCCTTCTTAGGGCCCCCATAACCTCTTTGTTCCTCAGGCTGTAGATGATGGGGTTGAGCATGGGGGTGAGGACAGTGTAAAAAATGGCCAAAATCTTGTCTTCTGTTGGAGAACGGAAAGATCTTGGGCGTAGATAAGTGTAAACAAAGGGTGCATAGTAGAAAGTCACAACTGTGAGGTGGGTGCTGCACGTCGAATAAGCCTTCTTCCTCCCTTCTGATGAGGGCATGCGGTAGACAGCAAGGAAAACCCGACCGTAGGAACAAGTAATGGCAATGAAAGGAAATACAAGGAAGAAGGTGGTACTCACAAACACTGTGTATTCATAGACCCAGGTGTCCATGCAAGCCAGAGTCAACATGGCAGGGACATCACAGAAGAAATGATTGATGACCCTAGATTGGCAATAGGGAATATAGAGTACATATGTAGTATGGGCACAGGAATTGATAGACCCCATCATCCAAGATCCTGCTGTCATTAACACATACACACTTTTTCTCATAAGAATAGGATAGTGAAGAGGACAGCAAATGGCTACATAACGGTCATAGGCCATAGATGCCAGGAGAAGTCCTTCTGCACCTGCCAAAGTCAAAAACAAGAAACTTTGGATTCCACATCCAATGAAGGAGATTGATTTGTTTCTAAACATGAAATTAAAAGCCATCTTAGGGACAATGGTGGAGATGTAATTCAGATCCATGAGGGAGAGTTGACAAAGTAGGAAATACATGGGAGTGTGGAGGTGTTTGTCCAACAGGATGAGGAGGATCATAGACAGGTTGCCAAGCAGAGCCAAAAGAAAAATGAAAATGATGATAACAAACAGTGATATACCAATTCTTGATGATGGTAGTAATCCTACTAAGGTAAAATCTGTTGATGTTTGGTTATAATTTTCCATTAGATATTCATGTGGAATTTCTAAAAATAGAAAAGCAAGTAAGTTAGGTAAGTAATTTATGGTTCTTTCTTTAATTCCATAGTCTATTCAGACTATGGATTATTCAGGATATTTATTTCTCTTAAATAAGGACCAAACTTACATAACTTCAAAAAACACTTCATTTTCTGATCTATAGATCAAAACTCAGAATGAAAATATTTATCACCAAAATATGTCATTAGAAATATATGAAGTGAAAATTTTATTTATATAATGTTTTATTAGAATATGGATGTTCCTTTTTCCCATATAAACTTAGAGGTCATAAAGTTAAGATATTATAGCCAAATCAGTATATTGAAAATACATTATGAATTCATACATAAAAATTTATAACTTTCAGGGAGTAATGTTTTTCTCCTAAATCTATGTCTTTAGATTTGCCGCAGCAGTGTATCAGATCGTGTGGAGGTGCTGTATTTCTTTTTTGAGTTCAATTTGCACAATAATGCCAAATAAAACTATTTTGAACTAAGGAATTATTATTTGGATTTTTGGTCCAGTAATCTACAATAAATTCTCATAACCAAGTACTATTTTCAAATTATAATATTAAATCATAATTTTTATTTTTAATTTTTCCACTCTTCATTACTTTCTACCCGTTCATGCAATTTCCAAGTATCTAATCAAAGCAGACCTTTTACTGGGGCATGTGTATAACATGGACATTATAGTTACAATGATTCTGCTCAAGCTTTTCCCAAAGAGGAGTTGCATTCTGTAGCTCTGCTTCCCTGATGCTTATCCAACGTTGTACATACATGAAAGGAAGACAGAGGTTTAAACTTTTGTTAATCTTCTCCAGAAGTGGCCTTCCTTACTCACCTGCAAGGTTAAGAAATCAGAAAAAACAGACTGATTTTGTATGCATTGGTGACACAAAATCAAACTTGGTTCAATACAAGTGACAAATCTTACCTAATTCTGCATGTCTGTAGACTGGAAGTGTTTGAATTTGTATCAGGCATCTATAACTTACTCTTTTGTAAATTGACTTATGAAGAATCAATCAGATGATCCAGAAGATGTCATCTGACATCTAGACAATTTATGTTGTTGTTGTTGTTAGGTGCTTTTGAGCTGTCTCCAACTCATAGTGACCTTTTGTACAACATAACAAAATGCTACCCAATCCTGTGCCTTCCTCAGAACCTTGCTATACCTGAGCCCATCATTACAGCCACTGTGTCAATCCATCTCATTGAGGGCTTTTCCCTTTTTCATTGACCCTCCACTTTACTAAGCATGATATCCTTCTCCAGGGAATGGTTCCTTCTGACAACATGAACACAGTCATTAAGACAAAGTTTGACCATTCTCCCTTCCAAGGAAAACTCCAGCTATACTTCTTCCAGGATAAATTTGCTCCTTCTTTTCGCACTCCTTGGCACTATCAGTATTCTTTGTCAACACCAAAACTCAAAAACATCAACTCTTCTTTGGTCTTCCTTATTCATTGTCCAGTTCTCACTTACGTAAGAGACAATTGAAAATGTCATGGTTTGGGTTGTTGCTGTTGTTGTTGTTAGGTGCTGTCTAGTTGTTTCCAACTCATAGTGACCCTGTGCACAGCAGAACGAAACACCACCTGATCCCATGCCAGCTCCATGATCCCTGCTATACTTGAGCCCATCATTGCAGCCACCATGTCAATCCATCTTGTTGAAGGTCTTCCCCTCCTTCGTTGACCCTCCACCTTACCAAGAATGACATCCTTCTCCAGGGAATGCTCCCCTCTGACCACAAGACCAAAATAGGTGAGATGAAGTCTGGCCATCCTCACTTCTAAGGAGCATCTCAGCTTCACTTCCACCAGGATACATCTGTTAGTTCTTTTGGCAGTCCATGATATCTTCAGCATTCTTCGCCAGCACCACAACTCAAAAGCATCAACTTTTCTTCAGTCTTCCTTATTCATTGTCCAGCTCTCTCATGTGTATACGAGGTGATTGGAAATATCATGGCTTGTGTCAGGCACACTTTAGTCCTCAAGGAGACATACTTGCTCCTCAGCACTTGAAGCAGTTCCTTTGCAGCCGACCTGATCAGTGCTACACATCGTCTAATGTCCTGACTGCTGCTTCCATTACCCTTGATTATAGAACCAAGCAATGTGAATTGGTTTGGGTTAGGCTTACCATAATCTTCAAGGAGATATCTTTCCTCCTCAGCACTTGAAAGAGGTCCTTTGTAGCAGATTTACCAAATGCAATACGTCGTCTGATGTCTTGACTTTGCTTCCAGTGGTGTTGATAGTACAAGCCAATAATATGAACTCTTTGACAACTTCAATCTTTTCTCCATTTATTGTGATACTGCTTATTGGTCAAGTTGTAAGGAGTTTTGTGTTCTTTATATTGAGGTGTAATCCATACTGCAGACAGAAGTCTTTAATCTTCATCAGTAAGTGCTTCAAGTCATCCTTACTTTCAGCAAGGAAAGTTGTGTTATCTGCGTATTGTGGGTTGTTAATGAGTCTTCCTCCAATCCTGTTGCCACATTCTTCTTCAAGTAATCCAGATTCTTGGATTATTTGCTCAGCATACAAGCTGAATAAGTATGGTGAAATGATACAACCCTGACACACTCCGTTCTTGATTTTAAACCATGCAGTATCCCCTTCTTATGTTGGAATATCAGCCTCCTGGTCTATCTACAGGTTCCTCATGAACACAATTAAGTGTTTGGGAATTCCCATTTGTTCTGGTTACCTAGTGCCACTCTGACAGGATTATACCACAAATAGGATGGCCTTAAGAATCAGGAATTTTTTTCTCTTACAGTTTGGAGGCTTTAAGTCCAAGTTCAAAGTACCAGGCTCTAGGGGCTGGGTGAAAGCCCCTCAACCTTGGGATCCAGCTCTGCCTCCAGCTCCCAGCCCACTGGAGCTAGAGGAATTTCTTCACTCAGAGAGCTGTTGGCTGCTGAGGCTGAGAATCCGCAAGGTTGGCAAGTAAAAAGGCACAGACCTGATGTTACATGGCAGGCCATTAACTTAAGTCCATTGTAAGTCCCAAGGTCAACACAGCATAGTAGGTTGCTGAGCAATGACACAGCTACATGCAGGATCCAAGAGTGCCATAGGCTAGAGACCATTCCCAAAACTTCTTCTTATATACAGGAAGTAGACCACATACTCAAAGCAGCTACTCAGCTGCTTTTGGTAGATGCCACCATGGAGTCGATTATGAGTCTCATCATGGGGAATAACTACCATCAGCTTCCCAGCCACTCAACCAGGCCCAGCCAAGTTGACACACAACATAACTACCACACCATTATTCTCAATGTTATCTATAATTTGTTATGAACCACAAAATCGAATGCTTTTGCATAGCCAATAAAACATAAGTAAACCTCTTTCTGGTATTTTTTGCTTTCAGCCAAGATTCATCTAACATCAGCAATGATATCCCTTGTTCCATGTCCTCTTCTGAATTCAGTTTGCATTTCTGGAAGTTCTCTGCCAATATACTGCTACAGCCATTTTTAAATTACCTTCAGTAAGATTTTACTTGTGTGTGATACTAATGACATTTTTCGATAATTTCAGCATTCTGTGGAATCACCTCTCTTTGGAATTCTTACAAATATGGATCTCTTCCAGTCAGTTGGCCAGGTAACTGTCTTCCAAATCTCTTGACATAGCCAAGGGAGTGCCTCCATAACAGCATCGCTTTGTTGAAACATCCCAAGGGGTATACCATCAACTCCTGGAGCCTTGTTTATCTCTAATTCCTTCAGTTCAACCTTGACCTCTTCTTTCAATACTATTGGTTCTTGATCATATGCCAGCTCCTGAAATGCATGAACATCAACCAATTCTTTTCAATACAGTGACTCTGTGGGTTCCTTCCATCTTCTTTTGATGCTTCCTGCATCATTCAATGTTTTTGCCATAGAATCTCTTAATATTGCAACTCAAGGCTTAAATGTCTTCATCAGTTCTTTCAGCTTGAGAAATGCCAAGTGTGTTCTTCTCTTTGGTTTTCTAACTTCATATCTTTGCACATTTCATTATAATAGCTGGTTTTGTCTTCGCAAGCTGCTCTTTGAAATAAATCTCTGTTCAACTTTTTTTATCTTCTCATTTCTTCCATTTTCGTTAGCTACTCTTCATTTAAGAGCAGGTTTCAGAGTCTCTTCTGACGTCCATTTTGGTCTTTTCTTTCTTTCCTGTCTTTTCAATGATCTCTTCCTTTCTTCAGGGATGATGTTCTTAGCGTCATCCCATAGTTTCTCCAGTTTTTGGATCATTGATGTTCAGTGCATCAAATTTATTTTTTAGATGGTCTCTAAATTCAGGAAGGATATAATTAAGACCACATTTTGGCTCTCTTGGACTTGTTTTAATTGTCTTCGACTTCAACTTGAACTTGCATATGAATCAATGATGGTCTATTCCGCAATCAGCTCCTGGCCTTGTTTTGACCAAAGATATTGGGCTTTTCCATTGCTTCTCATCACAGATGGAGTAAATCTGATTTCTGTGTACTTCATCTGGCAAAGTCCATGTGCAAAGCCACCATTGGTGTTTTTGAAAAAAAGGTATTTGCAATGATTAAGCCATTGGTCTTGCAAAACTATCATGAAATCTCCAACTTTATTTCCATTGAAAATGCGTAATTTCCAACTGCTAGTGATTCTTCTTTGTTTCCAATTGTTGCATTACAATCACCAGTGATTATCAACAAATCATGATTGCTTGTTCAGTCAATTCCAGGCTACAAAAGTTGGTAGATATCTTCAATTTCCTCATCTTTAGCTTTGGTGGTTGGTGTGTTGATTTGATTATTAGTAGTATTAACTAACTGATCTCTCTTCTAGGCATATGAATATCATCCTATCACTGACAGCATTTTATTTCAGGAAAAATCTTGAAACGTTCTTTGTGATGATGAATGCCATGCCATTCCTCTTCAATTTGGCATTCTTGGCATAGTAAATAAAATCAT